CACACTTGCCTACCCCGAGGAATGTTCTAAATAGGAGATATTTCGACCAACCTGCCCACCCCAAGGAATGTTCTAAACAAGCGAACACCCAGCCCGAGGGCCTTATTCCTGGTGGATTTTGGTCTTCACACTTGCCCACCCCGAAGAATGTTCTAGACAGGAGATCTTTCGACCAACCTGCCCACCCCAAGGAATGTTCAAAACAAGCGATTCTCAAGTCAAATCATACTATACATATCCTGTCATTCAAATCATACCAACATTCCAAGCATAAGAAGATGTACAATAAAGCGAATAGAATCGGAAAGATCATTAAACTTCATTGTCTTGTGAGCAAACTTTGCAATTTACATTTCCATTTGAATTTCTCAGCTTTCTTTTCTAAAGAAATAAAAATTGTCACACATAATATTTTTTCAAATTAGCTATGTTCCATGACCTGGCGAGTGATCGGCCTTCAGCATCCTTCAGCGAGTACGCTCCTCCTGCGTGCACTCGCTCGACCAAGTATGGTCCTTCCCAGTTAGGCTCCAGCTTCCCCACATGTTTGAGCACGTCGATACGCTTGCAGACCAGGTCTCCCACTTGGAACTTACGAATTTTCACTCTTTTGTCGTGAGCGACTAGCATCCTCTGCTTGTACGCCTCCACCCTGATTGCCGCTCTCCCACGCAGCTCCTCGATAGTATCTAAGGCCACCATCATCAGATCCTCGTTCTGTTCAGCATTATACGTGCTCGACCTCTGGGAAGATAACTCGATCTCGACCGATAGCAATGCTTCCATCCCATAAGCTAAACTGAACGGGGTTTCTTCTGTGGTCGACCTTGGAGTTGTGCGATATGCCCAAAGTACGAAACTCAGCTCATCGACCCATGCTCCCGAGGCCTTCTCCAACTTTGTCTTCAGCCCATTCAGTATAATTCGATTGGTTACTCGACCTGGCCGTTAGCTTGCGAATGGGCCACGGAGGCAAAGTGTTGCTCGATTTTCATATTTTCACACCATGCTCGAATCCGCTTCCCATTGAACTGAGTGCCGTTATCGGAAATCAACACTTTGGGTACACCAAAACGACAGCAAATGTCATTGTATATGAATTTAATTACTTTCTCTTCTGTAATCTTCGCTAAGGGCTCGGCCTCCACTCATTTCGTGAAATATCAACCGTCACTATTAAGAACTTCCTTTGCCCGGTGCCATGAGGCATCGGCCCCACCAGGTCGATACCCCACTGGGCGAATGGTATAGGAGCACTCATCGTTGTCATGGCTTCGGCCGGTTGGTGGATAATGGGGCCGTGCTTTTGGCATTGCAAGCACTTCTTCACCATCGTATTCGCATCTTCTTTCATCGTTGGCAAAAAATATCCTGCCCTCAAAATTTTCGCGACCAAGGCCCCTGACTTACTGTGGTCACTGCAACACCCTTCGTGCATCTCTCTTAGCACGTATCGACCTTCTTCCTTAGTAACACAACGCAAATGTGGTCCTCCATATGATCGTTTTAAAAAATGCCTCCATGCTCAAAAAACCTCCTGACCACCTTTATCGCTCCTCCCCTCAGCTCCTCCAAGATCGGGGCCCTCCAATCCTCCACCTCTTCGATCTCCGCCACTTCTGCTTCGATCACACTCTTTTCAAGATGCTACAGAGTGACACTTCTACTCTTGCAATCAACCAAGCTCTGAGCAATCTTCGACAATAGGTCTGCTCGACCATTCTCTCCTCGAGGAATTTGTATTAGTTCGAACGAATCAAACTCTTCTCTCAGCTTCTTCATCTCATCCACATATTTCTGCATCCGATCCTCCTTGACTTTAAACCCTTCTTGAAACTTCCCGACCACCAGTTGAGAATTGGAATGCACTTGCAATTTTCGAGCTCCTCTTGCTTTGGCTAGACTCAAGCCCTTAATCACTGCCTCGTACTCAGCTTCGTTATTGGATATCTTGAATCCCACTTTGGCCGCAAACTCCAAGTAATCGCCTTTGGGAGAGACAAGGACAATTCCCAATCCTGCCCCGCTTCGGGCCACAGATCCATCCACAAACAACTGCCATAATCCCTCTGACTCCTCCTCGACTTTTGTGCCTTCCTGGATAAAATCAGCCAACACCTGTGCCTTTATGGCCCTCCTTGGCTCGTACATCAAAGAATATTCACTCAATTCGACCGCCCACTTCACCAATCGACCAGAGACTGATGGTCGACCAAGTGTTTCTCCTAGCGGCATATTCGTTTGCACCTTCACCTTATGATTCAAGAAATTAAGGTCTTAATTTTCGAGCAGTTACAACCACAGCTAGAGCACACTTCTCAATTTCCGAATACCTCGCCTCGGCCCCCTACATCACTCTACTCACATAGTAAATAGGAGACTGCGTGATTCCTTCCTCCCGTAACAACACCGAACTCACGGCCCTCTCCCCAATAGAAATGTATAGCACCAGCTCTTCGCCCTGCATGGGTTTAGCCAATAATGGGAGGTTGGCTAGTACCCCTCGCAACTCCTCGAATGCCTTCTGTGCCTCCTCCGTCCATTGGAATTTCACACTCTTCTTCAACATTTTGAATAACGGCCCGCTCTTCTCCACCACCTTCGATATGTAACGACTCAGCCCTGCAATTCGACCAGCTAAGATTTGCACCTCTTTAACATTCATCGGCGACTTCATCTCTATCACCGCTCGAACCTTCTCCGTATTGACTTCAATACCTTTCTTGGTTACCAAGTAGCCCAAGAATTTTCCTGACCTCACCCCAAAAGAGCATTTAACAAGATTCAGTTCCATCCCATACCTCCGTAATGTTAGGAACGTTTCTTTCGAATCTCGCACGTGGTCCAACTCCTCCTTACTCTTCACCAACATATCATCCACATACACCTCCATGTTCCTCCCCGGTTGTTCCTTAAAGATTTTATCGACCACCCTTTGATACGTGGCGCCCGCGTTCTTTAGGCCGAACGACATGACCACGTAACAATAGGTTCCTTGACTCGTTACGAAACTCACCCGCTTCCTGTCCTCTCTCGCCAAGGGAATTTGATGGTATCCCTGGGAGGCATCCATCAGGCTCAACAGCTCGCACCTTGCCGTTGAGTCGACCAGCTGGTCAATTCTGGGCAGCGGATATAAGTCCTTCGGGCATGCTTTGTTCAGATCGCAATAATCGATGCACATCCTCTACTTCCCTTCCGCCTTCAACACCATCACCGTGTTCGACAGCCACTCGGGGAACTGAATCTCTTTGATATGTCGTGCTCCCAACAGTTTCTCGACCTCTTGCTCGATGATCTTGTCCATCTCTGCCCCATGGTGCCTTCTTTTCTGCTTCACCGGCCTCACACTGAGATCGATGTTTAGCCGATGCTCGATCACCTCCGCACTTATTCTCGTTAACGCCTCTGCTTTATAGGCAAAAATATCAGCGAACTCCCTAACCAACAGGATCAGCCTCGACCGAATAGGCTCTTCCAGATCCTTTCCGACCCTAAACTTTCTTCCTTCGCACCCCTCGATCATTTGAATCTCCTCAACTTCTTCCCCTGGTTGGATATCCATTTTCTCTTTACCTTTCTCCATTTTATGCTTATCCTCCTTCGACCTTGATCCCCCTGGTCGATTAATCTCCTCCCCCTTCGACTCGGCCTGCCTCTTCGCCAATTGCTTGTTATTGCTGACTGTTGTTTGGTAGCAACTTCTCGAAGTGAGCTGATCCCCGGCAATCTCCCCTACGTTTTCACCTACCGGATATTTGATCGTCATGTGGTACGTGGATACGACCGCCTGGAATGCGTTCAAGCTCGTCTGTCCCATGATGATGTTATAGGACGACTCAGCCCCTACAACCACAAATCTCACCATGCGCACCTTCCTCAACTCTCCTGATCCCAATGCCACGGAAAAACTGACCTCTCCCATCGGCATAACTTCTCCCCTATTAAAGCCGTAAAGTGCCGTGGCCACCGGTTTCAGCTCCATATTCAGCTCCTTGTTAATCTGCACAAAACAGTCATAGAACATCACATCTACCGAACTCCCGGTGTCAATGAATACCCTCTTCACATCGAAGCCTGCAACCTCCGCGGTTATCACCAAAGCATCATTGTGCGGCAAGACCACCCCCTCGGCATCCTCTGCCTTAAAACTTATCACCGGTATGCGGGTTGTAATCCCCACCTCCTCTCTCTTCCTCTTCACCGCTCGAGCGTGCTCCTTCCTGGCCCTATTTGAGTCATCGTCCGTTGGCCCACAGAAATCATATAAATCGTTCTTCTCTTCATCGAGGCCTCTCCTCCATGTCCTCCCTTATCACCATCCCTCCTTGGCTTCTTTCCTCGACCGTCTCGACCAGCTCCCTCCTCATCTCTATCACCCCTTTCCTCCGAGTCCTCCCTACACCTTCTCCTTCCTTTAATCTTCACCCTGTCGTGATACACAAATTCTTTCAAATATCCCGCTCGAATAAGCCTCTCGATCTCATCTTTCAAATGTCTGCAATTCTCGGTGGTGTGGCCATAATCTCGGTGAAAGCGACAGTAAATATCCGACCTAGGTCGAATTGGACCTGTAAACCTCGTCTTCGGCCAAGTCACATCCTCACTCGACATCTTCTGCTCCATGGCCTCTAGGACCTCCGTCATGTCTTTCCTCAAGGGCGTAAAAGTGTGGTATCACTGTCTCTCGAACAACATCGGCCTCCTCTGCCACTCATCTCTCTTCTCCCTTTTCGAATCTCGACTCCCTCTCCGGGGTGATGCCCCCTTCTGCCCACTCCGTTTGGGCGAATTCTTTCTCGGCGATCTCCCCCTCTGGGGATTTTTCTCCTCTTGTGGCTCTGGTCGAGCCACTCCCTCCAACTTTGCAAACTCCCTCTCCATCTCCTCCAAGCTAATATACTTCTTGCACCACTTCAGCACATCCTCATATGATCGAGCAGGGGTTTTTGCTAGGGAAGTTCGACAAGGCCCTGCTCGAAAACTCCTGATCAATCCACCCGCCTTCACCTCGTCCGAATCTGAGTGCACCTCTAAACATGTTTGGTTATATCGAGCAACATACTTCCTCAATGATTCCTTCTCCCCCTGCCTCATTACCATCAGAGTCAAATACGTTTTCTCCTGCACCACCGCACTTGAATATTGATTGATAAGCTTGTCGGTAAGGTCCTCAAAGCTCACGATCGACCCAAGGGGAAGCTGATGAAACCAATCAAGTGCTCCTCCACGCAGGGTCGATAAAAATGCCCTGCAACAAACAGAATCAGAGTACCCATGCAACACAACCATGTTTGCAAAGGTCCTCACATGCCTCGATGGCTCAGATGACCCATCATACACCAAGTTGGTCTCCTTGAAATTGTTTGGCAAAGGAGCAGTGAGAATCTCCCTTGAAAAGGGATGTCCCCGAGCTCTCCTCTCTGGCCTCCCCTCCACCTTATCTCGCAGCTGACGCAACTTCTCCGCCATCCTTTCCATTTCCCGATCTCTTCCGGCTCCTCCTTCCCCATAACTAGACACATCCTCATCCTGACTTCCGGCCACTGTGGTCGGCGCAGTGGTGGCCTGAGATGTATGACTCACAACTTGCTGCACCGCCTGCGCCGCCGCGGCCGCCGCTATCCTTTGCATCTCCTATCGGGTCATTGCCACCATTTGTTGGCCAGGGGTTTGTATGGCTGCCTGTGGTGGCACTCCTCCTTGTGCCAGCACTCCTCCCTGCCATTGTGCTGGATCTGGTGGTGGTGGTGGCATCGTCGCTGCTGCTGCTACGTGAGCCTCCTGGGCCTGACTGGAGCTGGCCCCTCCTCCGGGGATCACCATCGTCACTCCTACACCTTGGAAGCTAGGTGTGGGAGTGACCAGAGTCTGCGATGGGCCGGAAATGCCTGGAGGAGGGCCGTGCCCCAACGGCCTGGTCGTCGTCCAAACTTCATCGAAAGTCGACTGCAAATTTTTAGGAACTCCGTCCGCCATAGCCGAGCTTCAAACACAACCTTTTGAACAGAAAAAGTCCCCACAGACGGCGCCAATAATGCAAGTGTAAGCGTCCGGGTCCGGTTTGGAGCAGATCGGTTCTTTTCCTCGCCGGTAGAACGCCGGAAACCTGCAAATAACTCTCATACCGGGGTTTGGGTCCGGTGAAGATCCTCCAATGCTTAAGTTAGTATGTGTATAAGTATACTGGAATTGAATTGATGTATAGAATGTGTTAAGGGAGAAAGGTTCACCCCCTTTATATAAGGGTGAGATACCTGCCCTAAAAGTTGCCCGGATGAGGTGAGCTGGCTGACCAAGCTGCCCGTCCGTACTCTGACACGCCGCGCACATGTCAGAGGTGGCGCAGGACGTTGGGAGTTGTCAGAGGTGGTTGTCACCATCACCCAATACATTGTCGACACGTGTTTCCCCAGCACATGGGGTAAATATTCTCTAGAGATTTCCGCTAGGGGCTCTTACGCGTGCCTGTGATACACGCGCTCACAACTAAGTCGATTGTTGGTTCCTCGAAGAGATCGACCTGCCGAGGTCAAGTAGATTGCTCGATTATGCGTCTGGTCGACTATCTGAATATTCGATCTTCCCACCTTTTCTGCTTGGCTTCTCCTCAGTTTAGCCTCCTCGACCGGCCAAGTAGGACGGTTTGTCCTTGAGTATATAATATCCCATATCAGTTTTGTTGTTTTGCATGTAGATAAGTGGGTCGTCATCGGGCGTACCGAAGATCACTATATTAGTTACTTGCGAAACAAGAATCATTGGTTCACAACCTAGATGGAATTGGACAAACCATCAGAATGGTTGTAGTGTCAACTGTACGGTTTGTCTTAACCGATTAGTTGCACTAGTACATTTATGTATTGAACAGGATCCCAGAGAGGGATGTTCGTTTTATACTGATCATCGTAAACGAACTAAGCCTCAGTTAATTATTGCGTGCTCTTAACCCGTAAGATATTAAATAGGCATGTGCACATAATTGTTGTTGCTTTGATTCTTTGGGTGAGATCTAAATCGGGTCGACATACTTAATGAATTGGGTAGTGACATTATGTGTTCGATGTGCTATTAGGATATTTACGGTCACCATGTACATTAGTCTGATGATGTCCCCGAAGTGAGTTCATGAAAGAATATTATGCTAAACCCTGCAGGTGGATTTATTCCGGCATAATATGAATGCTATGAGCGAGCGCTAGCTTCGGTAATATAATATATTAAATAATTCTTGATTATTGGTGATCGAATTAATTAATGGACATTATATTTTAAACATGGGGAGGTAAATTGGATAATTATAAAAAGGAGAATCAAATGTAATTTGGGATAGGTGAAGGGAGTGCAATAATATTATCGTGGTAGACTTTAATATTATTAATATATTAATTGTGGGGTTGCTCCAAAGTATTAATATATTAGAATCCCTTATCCTATTCTCCTTAGGGTCCCTACTGTAGCTCTATATATACAGCATTAGGCTCTTGGAAGAGAACAGACAATCCCACAACCTTGGGAAACACGTCCAGCCCTCTCTCTCTCTCTTCCAAGGAGTTGTTCTATTTCTTGTGCTCCACTGATACAAGATCTAGATAGCTGTTTGAGAATACAGTAGAAGATCTTAAGGTATATACGGGATTACAATCAGATCTATCATACATCCAAACTGGAGACCAAAACCAGCAAGTGACCATACCACGACGACCAGGACGACGAGTCGAAGAGATCGCCGTCGAGATCGCCGCCATCCGCCGCCGCACGCGCCATCACGCGCCGCCGGAAGGTACCAGTTGCTGAGGCTCACTCGCGCGCGTGAGAGCACGTGGAAGCTCCATTTTCCGATCGGTCAACGCCGTTGACTTTGTCGTGACGTCAGCTTTCTGGATTGGTCAAGTTTGTTCGATTGCGAGAAGATTTGGTTTGCGGTCATCTGTTCGGGCCAGCCAGATCTACATAAATTTTAAGCCGTAAGTTTTCTACATCAAACCTTTAGATCCGCTGCGCATAGGTTTATGTTGAATGTGTGTCCGTGATTTGTGCATATCGAGATCCTCATAGGTCCCAACAATTGGTATCAGAGCCTGAGGTTAATCCGTTATGTAAAAGATCCGGATTAAACGACTTTTATTGTCTATGTGTGCTCAAGCACAACCATATATATTGGATTATATGCATAACTTGGTTTTGCAGGAAGTAGTTAATCCACTATTATGGCCACCCTTTTTTATGTTCT